CCATTAGTGATAAATACACTCATCATACCATATTTTTGTTCTCTGAATTGTTCTTTCAGAAAAATGTATATTCCAGGGCTGGGGTGTAGCTCAGCTGACAGAATGCGTACCTAGCATACATTAGTCCCTGAGTTCCGTGTACCAAATAAGCCTCCGATGGTAGGACATACCTGTAACCCAAGCACCTGGGAACTAGAGGAAGGAAGATAAAAATTTCAAGGGAAATGGAACCAGGAGGATTCTCAGTTCAGAGTCAACCTTAGTTACTCTTGAAGCGATCTTGTCTCAGGGTAAAAGGGGAGGTGGGGAAGGGGAGGGGAGAGCAAAGGAAAAGGAAAGGGGGAGGGAGAAATGGATGTTTGGTTCTGAAGGAAGCAGGGTGAGAGCACATGGGGGGAAGATCCTTGAAATAAAGAACTGAAGGTCAAGAGTACCCTCTCCTTAATCAAAAGACAACACACGACATTTCTACAAAAGCTGCTTTGTATCTCCCCTCTCTAGGAGCTTGGTCTTGCAAATGTCAGCTCCCAGAAGCAGAAATTGCACTGTTTGAGTATTTCCCAGAGCATCTGGGCTGAAACGTGATGTTGGATGAGACAAGGATGTGCCGACCAAATCTTGATTGTGCGCTGAGAACCTAGTTATTTGGCAGCTGCATAAAACAAATGTGGTTTTTCAGAATTCTAAAAATGAAAACAAGCCAAGATGACCCGTTGTTTCAGGCACCGTCTGAGTAGCACGAGGCGTCCTCAGTGTAACCGCATGTCGATTCTGAGCACGTGGGCCTTTGTTGATTCCTCATCAATCACATGCCCGTCCACCTTTGCAGGCTTCCCCTGGAGATATACCCATGACCTCTTCACTAGGGTTTTCTCATCCCAGGGACGGCTCTCCCTGAATGTACCATGTTCCAGCCTCTAAACACCATTAACTTAATTGTGTTTTATTCAACGACACGGAGAAGGAAGAATGGAAGATTAATAGGTGGTACACACACTCAGTAGATAAAAAGATTATGAAAGTAGTGCTTACTTTCAGATGCTTTCCTTTCTTTTAATTTTTTTTCTTATGTAGGGTGTGTGCGTATGTGTGTGCTTGTGTGCTCATGTTTTGGGGGGGGCAGAACTGATAATGGAGCCTTCCCTATTACTCTCTGCCTTATTCACCATGGCAGGGTCCCTCAGTTGAACCCAGAGTTCACTAACACAACTAGTCTTGTTAGCAGCTTGTTCCCAGGACCCCTGCCTGTCCCTTTTGAGCACTGGGATTACATGCCTCAGCGCCCGACAAGCATTTATGTGGATTCCGGTGATGGGAACTCTGGTTTCCACGCTTGCTAAGCATCTGACTCAATACTTCTTTTTTTAAATGTATGAATATGTCTGTCTGTCTGTCTGTCTGTCTGTCTCTCTCTCTCTCTCTCTCTCTCTCTGTGTGTGTGTGTGTGTGTATGTGTATATGAGAGAGAGAGAGACAGAGAGAGAGAGACTCGTGTTTATGTATCCATGCGAAGGAAAAGGATCAACACTGTTATCAATTTCTACCTTCATTTTTGAGACAAGACCTCTCATTGAACCCAGAACTCAGCAATTCAGCTAAGATTGCTAGTTAGTGAATCCCAGGGAGCCTCCCATCTCCACCTTCCCAGTGCTGGGATTTCAGGTGTGCATTGCTGTACCTGGCTTTCATGTGGATGCTGGGATCCAGCCTTTATGCTTATGTGACGGTCACTTTACTGACTGAAGCATATCTCCAGACTTACTTGTGTCTCAAGTCTACTCATTGCATTGGGAAGGAAGAGGGAAGAACGAACAGATTTTACACATACTTAGTAACACAAATTGTTCACTGTGCCTTCTTTTTCGGGTTTATATTGTTCAGCAGGACAAAATGAAGCTAAAGGATAAAGGTTTATTCTGAGTCAGTTTCAGTCCACAGTTGCTTGGCTCTATTTGAGTGGAGATGGGTGTCATTCGGTGAGGAAGGGCATCATGGGGGGAGCAGGGTTGCTCATTTCAGAATGACCAAGAGGCAAAGGGCACCAGGGACCTTAAGGGGCATACTCCCGGGAACCTCCGTTTTCTTCTACTCAGCACCCCTTCCTGAAAGTTCTTCACACCCCCAACAGCAACTTCTACTGGAGAACAAGCCTCTAACACATAACCTATTAGGGGATACTGAAGATTCAAATCCAATACTTACTGTCCAAACTTTATATGGAAAGAGTGTCCGTGTGTTTAGCATTAATCTTACTGTGTATAGACCCAAAAATTGGGAGTTTACGGAAGGCAGGGCAATGTGGACCTCTTTGGATCTTAATATTGAGCATGCATTCACTCTTAATGTTTTCACTTTCAAAAATATTTTTAGCTCTTTTTTTGGTGGCACCTCCTAGGCAGACAGCCATGCCAAGATGAAACTGAATATTTCCTTCCCAGCCACTGGTTGTCAGAAACTGCAGGGGACGATGAACAAAAGCCTCTTTCTATAAAACTATGGCCACAGAAGTGGTTGCTGATGCTCTGGGTGAAGTGTGGAAGGGCTGTGTGGTCCAAATCAGTGATGGGAATGACAAACAGGTCATTTGCTTGTTTGTTTGTTTGTTTGTTTTTAATGACTCAAGGCATCTTGACCCACAGCAGTGTCTGCAGTCAGATAACGGACATTTTTGTTATAGATCAGGGAGAAAGAACTGGAGAAAGGAAGTGCAAGTCCATTCATGGATGCATTGTAGCTGTTCTCAACTTGTTATTGTAAAAAAAATTCTATTTTAATTTAAAAGGGGAGAAGGATATTCCTGTGTTGGCAGATATTACTGTGCTGAGGCAGTTGGGGCCCTAATAAGCTAGTAGAATCCAAAAGCTTTTCAATATCTCAAAAGAGCAGCACCCTCCATGGCCTCTGCATCAGCTCCCACCTCCAGGTTCCTGCCCTGCTTGAGTTCTTGTCCTGACTTCCTTCAATGATGGACTATAATATGGAAGTATAAGCCAAACAAACCCTTTCCTATGCAACTTGCTTTTGGCCATGGTGTTCATCATAGCAATAGAAGCCCTGACTAAGACACACAGTAAACATGTTACCAACTGAACCATTTCCTGAGCACTGTCCTTTTCCTTCTTAGTTGTTCCTCATCTTGTTCAATCTCTGCCCAGCCCTCCTTATTCTAATCAGTTTGGAGTTCTGTAATAACAGAATCTTAAAGTTCTTGCAAATTTAGGCACCCGAGAAGGCTGTTCTCTATATATTGGTTAAAAATGATGTAGTCTTCTCAATTGGTTCTTTGATTGCATGCTCAACTCTGAAGAAGCTTTGAAAAGGCCAACACTATTAAAGCATTTATTTCACTCCCCCCAAATACACCAAATAAACCCTTTCCTCCCCAACTTGCTTTGTGGTCATGGTGTTTCATCACAGCAACAAAAACTCTAACTGAAACAGGTAGTACCTCAAAAAAAAAAAAAAGCTGGACAGCATTCCTGTGCCACACCCGAGGTTGTCCTCTGTCCTCCCCATGTACATGCACACATGTACTCAACACATACATGCAGCCAAGGGAACACAAGCACACACATAGGCATGAAACAAAAACAGGAAAGAGGGAAAGAACAAAGTAAAGATAGTTTTAGAAAAATTGGTCTAATGGAATTGTACTAGGTAAACTTAAGGAAAATTAGCAGCAAAAATATCTGGGTCTCTGTGTGTGTATGTGTCTGCATATCTGTGTGTGTGTGTGTGTCTGCATCTGTGTGTGTGTGTCTGCATCTGTGTATGTGTGTGTGTGTGTAAAATCAACCTTTACCCTTTCTTAAAAATATATTTCAGAGGCCTTAGACAAAAATTCAGGGAATTTAGGTTGGAGAGGTGACTCAGCAGTTAAGGGCACTGACTCCTCTTCCAGAGGACATGGGTTCAATTCCCAGCACAGACATCCCCAGCTCACAACTGTCTATAACTTCTGTTCCAGGGGATCCAACACCCTCACACAGACATACATGCAAGCAAAACACCAGCATAGAATGCACCAATGCAAAAAAAACTTAGGAAATTTTACAAAAATACATACAGGATAGAATAAGATTTAAAATAAACCGGTGGGCTGGGGATAGATCTCAGCCATAGAACATCTTTCTAAGATGTGTTCTGTGTTCAATGTCAGTTTCACAAAAATAAAAAAAATAAAGTAAGTTGGTTATTTAAAAAAAAAGTTTGCAATAAAGTTGGAGTAAAGGAAAATTATGGTTACAAAATAAGGCAAAATGGAAATTGAGGCTATTATAGAAATTTCATGCCATGAGGGGAATTTATCCTGATATATGAATCATTGCAAAGTGAGACAAAAAAAAAATTCTCAGGATAAATGTGGAAGCTCCCATTGCTAAGAACAAGAAGAGGATTCGTGCTCTTTGATGAGTACTGAGTCCCCAACACAGTCTTAGAATGTACATACCCAACAACATCAGTAGATGCTTATAATGGTTGGGGAGGCATGATCAGAACAAAACCAGAAAGCAACAGGGTCCAAGATCAGTTTCCACCTGGTGTAGACCATCTCGAGGACCGTTCGGTTTTCTTAGACAAATTGGATATATTTGTTACTGAACATAGTTTAGTGTGGTGTGGAACAGCACAGTGGAAGCCCTCAGCAGTTTGGGGCCCACCATTTGCCCAGGGAATCATGATTGGGGAATGTTTGACCCCACAGCCACCAGGTATGGGCCACTGATAGCCTAAGGTGCTTTAAGTCATCGGCATTAAACTTGATGAAGCCTCACTTCTTTGAGCTATGGCTTCTGTCTAGCAGGGAAGTTGAACTTGACTCTATGCAGGGCCTCAACCACCTGTTCTTTATTCTACAACTTGGTGTGCACTGGCATGATGACCTGGCCAATACTACCCTAACCACTGTACCCTGGAGCTTCCCAAAGACAGCTTGCATAACTGTTTGGAGCCTGGGGTAGGAACAGCATTGAGATCAGAGACATGACTATCCAATAGAAAAGTATCTCCAAGATTCCTTAGGGCAACTCATATTGACAGCAGGCTGTGTATACCATCATAGAGGCTGCTATTTGCAGTCATTGCCCACTAGGCCCCCATGAGGGAAGCAACTTGGTCATCTTAATTGACTGCAGAGAGATAAATATTTCTTTGCATCTCTAGATGAGATATGTATTAGTTACTTTTTCATTGATAACATAAGGTTATATTGCCGAGCCAAGATACAAATTTTACATGCTTTCATGAGATAAAAAAAAATCATGCTGGATTTCTGTGATGAACTAGATTGAAACAGGCAGGAAGTTGAATCCATTCATCTTCTCATGGTAATGCTTTCAAAATATACAATATGGTGGTGGTATCTCATGCCTTTAATCTCAGCTCTCAGGAGGCAGAGGAAGGTGGATGTTTGTAAGTTCAAGACCAGCATGGTCTACATGAGCAAGTTCCAGGTCAGCCACAGTGATTACACAGAGAAATCCTGTCTCAAGAAACTAAGAATAACAACAAAACAAAAAAAAGAAACAAAAAAAAAAGCTTTTCAAAATACACAATAATGCCCCAGCACTGAGGAGGCAGAGGTAAACTGATCTCTGACTTTGATGCCAGTCTGGTCTACAGGGCCAGTCAGGGCTGCATAGAGAAGCTCTGTCTTGAAAAACTAAAAAAGAAAAAGAAAGAAACAAAATGCACAATAATATATATTAGTTGCTGAAAAAATTAAAAAGAGAGTACAAAGAAAGAAAATTTAAGTTTCTGTAGAGCTGGCAATCAAATTCAAGGCCTATACTTGCTAGACGAGCCCTCTACTTTACTGAGTTTTCCCTCCAGCCCCTAAGGGAAATTTCTATTTAATCAATTATAATCCTACCACCTACAGAATGGTACTCAGAACATGTCCTTCTAGTTGTGACTTAAGAAGCCTCAGTTTATCAAATATTTATGTGAAATTTTGGGGCTCATGAGCCCCAAGGACAAGACTTTGCTATCAACCCCTCAGCATGATGGTAAAATCAGATAGAAGAACAAATGTAGCTCAGGGAATTTCTTCAAAGAAAATTCATTATGCACCTTTCTTGATGTGGCTATTAAAATGGTTGAGGTGGACTGTTTTCAAAAGGTAACTTTATAACCAGGACAAGATATGCAATTACTGCCTTAATAGCCAAATTACTCTGCGATATTACTTTCATTCAGGAGCGTTACACGCCTAATAAGAAGAGCTGGGGCGGGATGTGCTCTGCATTTTCACACTCGTTTATTGCAATACCTTCGAGCATTAGAGAATGTCAGAGTAAGATGCAATTTTCCAGCTAAGTCGCAAAGCTGCAGCGTTAGGAAAACTCAGACCCTAGATTTCGTCCTAGAGAGTTTGAAAGGTAATGTTACTATGACTATCTCAAATGCCAAGGTAAACCCTGCAGTGTTACAGTACACTCATGTTACAACTGACTTACAGAGAGAAAACACAAAGAATCAGGACTGGAGAGATTGCTGCCAGGCCTGGGGTCTGAGTTCATTCCCCAGAACCCACACTGTAAAAGGACAAAACGGACTCACACAAGTTGTCTTTTGACCTCCATACATTCGTTATGGAGTGTGTATGTCCACACATATACACATAAAAACTAAAATGTAGCTGGGGGGAGACACAATCAGCATGGTAGCACATGCTGTGATTTCAGTTCCAGCACTTAGGTAGCTGAGGCAGGAGGATCAAGAGCTTAAGGCCAACCTGAGCTGCAAAAAGGAGATGAGAGACAGAGAGAAAATGAGGCTAATGCACTAATGTTAATATTGGAAGGATAAGAGCAACTTGATTATCCCATACAGCCACGCATATCCAGCTGCAATATAATATAAAACCAGAAAGAGGGTTTGGATTGTAGCTCGGTTAGTGAAGTACTTGCCTAGTGTACATAAAGCCCTGGGTTCAGTGTCTAACACCACATACTCAGACATGCTGGCACACCACTGTAATCCCAGCATGGATAAGGTGTGTTGGGGAATGTGAACCCCCAGACCCTGAATTTCCTGTGACCCCCTGCCTGCCGGAGTAAACAACTTGTTTTCCTATGCTTGCAGCTGCTGTGAGCAAATGATTTGTTTTGCAGCTGCTCTGAGCATGAGAGTTCCCGATGGCAGGGGAGTGGTTTCTGGTGGCTTGCAGCTGAGAGTTAGGGCATGGCCATTAGTCAAGGAGACCCTATATAAGCTGCCCTGGAACACAATAAAGGGGGCATTCTTGAAGTGTTCTTGGCGGTGTGTGTGTGTGTGTGTGTGTGTGTGTGTGTGTGTTTCAATCTCCAGCCCCTTGCCCAACTGATGAACCATACCACACATAGTGCATGGCATAGAGCAGGCACTGCGCTACAAGGTGGAGGAGGAAGATCAAAGTTGAAGGTCATCCTCCACTACATATTGAGTTCAAGGCCAGCCTGGGACACATTCAACCTCATCTTAAAAAAAAAAGTGGAGATGGGGGTTGGAGAGATGGTTCAGTGGTTAAAGGTACATATGGCTCTTGCAGAGGACCTGATTCAATCCCAGGCACCCATGTCTGGCAGCTCACAACTGCTTATAACTCCAGCTACCAGGAGTTCCAAAGTCGCTGGCCTCTGTGGGCACATGAACTCTCATGCACATACCTACACGCAGACACATACATATCATAACTACAATAATTTTTAAATAAATAAGTAATAAGCAATATATAAATAAAAATGGGAAGAGGTCAAGATATCTAGGCATAGCTTTAGGTACTAACTGGACCAAATTTAAATTGGTCCAAGACTAAAGACGTTGCAGCTACCAATCTAACGGTATTGTTATATGCAAGTAAAAGTGTTCTCACAGTTTACTTCCAAAAGCTCTAAGACATTCTAGCTAACACTCTGTGATTTCGTCCCACCTGAAAGCACAAAGGTGCAGCTATTTTAAGAGTCCAAGCCTATAATGACATCCTTATTGGTAATTACACACTGTGGAATGTATAGCGATTCCCTGATCTTTTGATAATGCCAGGGCCTGTTTGAATGAGACCCCAAGTGAAAGCAGTAACTCAGAATTTCCTTCCTTTGTGATTTGGAGGGTCTAAATCTCACCATTGCCTTTTCATTGTTTGGTTTCTTATTGTGTTAAAGGGCAGGGCCACCCTGATAAGAGCAAAGGAAAGCTGTAACACAGTGGGGAGAAGGCAGCATAGATTTCCTCCAGCTTCAGCACAGGGACCCGCCCTGAGGGCCTAGAACCATGGGAATTTCCTACAGAAGCAAGTACCAGTCAGGCTGAGGAAAAGGCTAAGTCAGCAAAATTCTTGCCTGGTAAGCCTGGGGACCAGAGTTCAGTCCCTAGGCCTGGTGTAAAGAGCCAGGCAGGACGGAGAATGCTCATAATCCCAGCCCCAGGAAGCAGAGACAGGTGGATCCCTCACTGGCCAGGCAGTCCAGCCAAATAGATGAGGTCCTAGATCAATGAGAGACCCTGTCTCCAAAAGTAGGGTGGAAGGGCTGGGCTAGAGCTCAGTGGGAGAGCACTTGTCTGTGTGTGAAGTCCTAGGCTCAGTCCTCAGTGAGACTACAAGGAAACAAAGATGTAATATGGGGAGTGACTGTGGGAGACACCAGATGGCCACCTCTGCCTCCTTACACACATGCATGCACACACGCACGCACACGACTGTAACTTAACTCTCACCATTACAATGATGGACCCTGGAGTAGAGCATCTGCTGCCTCCAGGTAAAACTAGGTACCTCACATTAGAAGTTCAGTTAAACATCTCCATTTTAGGCTCTCGGTAGATCATCGTTGAGCCCCACAGACTCCTGGAGAAAAAAGTTTCCCTAAGACTCCAGCAAACAGTGAAGAATTTCAATTCTGTGCCAGAAGATGACAACCACATAAAGTCTCAGAAGGAGCAAGACAGACAAAAGAAACAACAACGGCTTTGAGGCCGTTGTTATGGAAACGGAGGCGTGTCGTGTATCCTGTTTGTGGCATAATATTGTATGTTCTGTTCACAGGACAGCCTAGCCAAAAGGGTTTGAGCCCATCCCCTGCCAGCTTGCAGCTGTGACCATCACATTCCTTGGGTGAAACTTTGCTCCTTTCCAGTTCAGCCTGGCTTGTTTGTGAAAGCTTCCAGGCACAAACATGTGGCCTTTGAAACCTCTGGTCCTCCCAGCACTTCCATCGACAGTCTGGGTCCTGCCTACTAGATTAACATGGTCAGCAATCCTACTAGAATGGTTCTTTTCAACATGGATGACTATCCATTCCCATGAGGCTTTTGGCAATGGCAGGAAACTGTGTGTGTGTGTGTGTGTGTGTGTGTGTGTGTGTGTTCATGTGGGGTGTGTATGTGCATGATTATGTGTGTGAGTATGGGAGACAGAGGTCAGTGTCTGATGTCTCCACTTTTTAAAAAAAAAGATGTATTTGCTTAATTATATGGACGTGCTTGCATGCGTGTATCTGGTTATGTGCATAAGAATGCAGACGCGCACAGAGGCTAGAGACACTGGAACCCCCTTGGAGCTGGAGGTGTCGTGAGATGCCTGACTTGGGTGCTGGGAACTAAAATTGGGTCTTTTGGAAGAGCAGTGGATGCTGAGCCATCTCTCTAGCCCTCCACCTTAGTTTTTGAGACAGGGTCTCTCAATGAACCTGGAGATCACCAGCTGATCTAAGCTAGCTGGTAATCGAGCCCAGGGGTACTTCTGCCTCCAGTTCCCCAATACTGGAATTATTAGGACATGCCACCATATCTAGTTTTGTAAACATGGATTCTGGGGATCTGAACCCAGGTCCTCATGCTTGCAAAGCAAGCACTTTACTCACTGAATGATCTCCCTATCCCCTCTGAAAACATTTCAATTCACCTAACTAGGAGGGGAGAGATTGATACTGGCATCCAGGGGTAGATAGAGGCCAGGGCATTGCTACATAACCTAGAGGGAGGGCCGGTCATCTCAGTTGGTTTTAGAACAATGCAAATAATATACCATAAGACACAGAACAACTGTTCATAGTAAAAAGCATTTTGCTTAACATATTAATAACTCTAAGGTTAAAGTTCTTTTGATGGGAGCTATATGTTATTGCAGCTGCTCTGTGGAAACAGACAGGGGTCG